AAGCTGTTCTTTTATTGTCCTTTCTCCTCACTAAATCTCCTCTCATTCTCTTTCACTCCCAGTAACCCCTTTGCGTCTTAGTGGCATTATCGCCATCTTCTGTATTCCTGAAAGCTGTTCTTTTTATTGTCCTTTCTCCTCACTTCCTCCTCATTCTCTTTTCACTCCCAGTAACCCTTGCGTCTTAGTGGCATTATCGCCATCTTCAGCAGTATTCCTGAATGCTGTTCTTTTATTGTCCTTTCTCCTCACTAAATCTCCTCATTCTCTTTCCTCCCAGTAACCCCTTGCGTCTTAGTGGCATTATCGCCATCTTCTGTATTCCCTGAAAGCTGTTCTTTTATTGACCTTTCTCCTCACTAAATCTCCTCATTCTCTTTCATCCCAGTAACCCCTTGCGTCTTAGTGGCATTATCGCCATCTTCAGTATTCCTGAAAGCTGTTCTTTTTATTGTCCTTTCTCCTCACTAAATCTCCTCATTCTCCCCAGTAACCCCTTGCGTCTTAGTGGCATTATCGCCATCTTCTGTATTCCTGAAAGCTGTTCTTTTATTGACCTTTCTCCTCACTAAATCTCCCCATTCTCTTTCCTCCCAGTAACCCCTTGCGTCTTAGTGGCATTATCGCCATCTTCTGTATTCCTGAAAGCTGTTCTTTTATTGACCTTTCTCCTCACTAAATCTCCTCATTCTCTTTCCTCCCCAGTAACCCCTTGCGTCTTAGTGGCATTATCGCCATCTTCTGTATTCCTGAAAGCTGTTCTTTTATTGTTCTTTCTCCTCACTAAAGTCTCCTCATTCTCTTTCCCTCCCAGTAACCCCTTGTGTCTTAGTGGCATTATCGCCATCTTCTGTATTCCTGAAAGCTGTTCTTTTATTGTCCTTTCTCCTCACTAAATCTCCTCATTCTCTTTCACTCCCAGTAACCCCTTGCGTCTTAGTGGCATTATCGCCATCTTCAGTATTCCTGAAAGCTGTTCTTTTATTGTCCTTTCTCTCCTCACTAAATCTCCTCCATTCTCTTTTCCTCCCAGTAACCCCTTTATGTCTTAGTGGCATTATAGCCATCTTCAGTATTCCTGAAAGCTGTTCTTTTATTGACCTTTCTCCTCACTAAATCTCCTCATTCTCTTTCACTCCCAGTAACCCTTGCGTCTTAGTGGTATTATCGCCATCTTCAGTATTCCTGAAAGCTGTCCTTTTATTGACCTTTCTCCTCACTAAATCTCCCCATTCTCTTTCCCCCCAGTAACCCCTTGCGTCTTAGTGGCATTATCGCCATCTTCTGTATTCCTGTTCTTTTATTGTCCTGTTCTTTATTCACTCCCAGTAACCTTTCTCCTTCTGTATTCCTGAAATCTTTATTGACCTCTCCTCCTTCTCCTTTTCTCTTCCCCCAGTAACCCCTTGCGTCTTAGTGGCATTATCGCCATCTTCAAAGTATTCCCTTTCTCCTCAAAATCTCCCATTCTGTTCTTTTATCGCCATCTTCTGTATTCCTGAAAGCTGTTCTTTTATTGACCTTTCTCCTCACTAAATCTCCTCATTCTCTTTCACTCCCAGTAACCCCTTGCGTCTTAGTGGCATTATCGCCATCTTCAGTATTCCTGAAAGCTGTTCTTTTATTGTCCTTTCTCCTCACTAAATCTCCTCATTCTCTTTCACTCCCAGTAACCCCTTGCGTCTTAGTGGCATTATCGCCATCTTCTGTATTCCTGAAAGCTGTTCTTTTATTGACCTTTCTCCTCACTAAATCTCCTCATTTTCTTTCCTCCCAGTAACCCCTTTGCGTCTTAGTGGCATTATCGCCATCTTCAGTATTCCTGAAAGCTGTTCTTTTATTGACCTTTTCTCCTCACTAAATCTCTCATTCTCTTTCACTCCCAGTAACCCCTTGCGTCTTAGTGGCATTATCGCCATCTTCAGTATTCCTGAAAGCTGTTCTTTTATTGTCCTTTCTCCTCACTAAATCTCCTCATTCTCTTTCACTCCCAGTAACCCCTTGCGTCTTAGTGGCATTATCGCCATCTTCAGTATTCCTGAAAGCTGTTCTTTTATTGACCTTTCTCCTCACTAATTATCCTCATTCTCTTTCCTCCCAGTAACCCCTTGCGTCTTAGTGGCATTATCGCCATCTTCTGTATTCCTGAAAAGCTGTTCTTTTATTGACCTTTCTCCTCACTAAATCTCCTCATTCTCTTTCCTCCCAGTAACCCCTTGCGTCTTAGTGGCATTATCGCCATCTTCAGTATTCCTGAAAGCTGTTCTTTATTGACCTTTCTCCTCACTAAATCTCTTCTCATTCTCTTTTCCTCCCAGTAACCCCCTTGCGTCTTAGTGGCATTATCGCCATCTTCAGTATTCCTGAAAGCTGTTCTTTTATTGTCCTTTCTCCTCACTAAATCTCTTCTCATTCTCTTTCCTCATTAACTCCTTGCGTCTTAGTGGCATTATCGCCATCCCTGAAAGCTGTTCTTTTTATTGTCATTTCTCCTCACTAAATCTTCTCATTCTCTTCTGTATTAGTGGCATTATCGCCATCTTCAGTATTCCTGAAAGCTGTTCTTTTTTATTGACCTTTCTCCTCACTAAATCTCCCTCATTCTCTTTCACTCCCAGTAACCCCTTGCGTCTTAGTGGCATTATCGCCATCTTCTGTATTCCTGAAAGCTGTTCTTTTATTGTTCTTTCTCCTCATTCTCTTTCCTCCCAGTCTTCTCTTCCATTCTTTCTTTCACTAAATCTCCTCATTCTCTTTCCTCCAGTAACCCCTTGCGTCTTAGTGGCATTATCGCCATCTTCTGTATTCCTGAAAGCATTATCGTTTATTGTCCTTTCTCCTCAAAAGTTCAGTATTCTCATTCTCTTTTCTCCTCCTAAAACCCTTGCGTCTTAGTGGCATTATCGCCATCTTCAGTCTTCCTGAAAGCTGTTCTTTTATTGTCCTTTCTCCTCACTAAAGTCTCCTCATTCTTTTTCACTCCCAGTAACCCCTTTCGTCTTAGTGGCATTATCGTTCTTCAGTTTATTGTTCTTTTATTGTCCTTCCTCACTAAAGTCTTCTCATTCTCTTTCACTCCTGTAAACCCCTTGCGTCTTAGTGGCATTATCGCCATCTTCTGTCATTCTGAAACCTGTACTTTTATTGTCCTTTCTCCCACTAAATCTTCTCATTCTCTTTCACTCCCAGTAAACCCCCTTGCGTCTTAGTGGCATTATCGCCATCTTCTGTATTCCTGAAAGCTGTTCTTTTCTTGTCCTTTCTCCTCACTAAATCTCCTCATTCTCTTCTTCACCCCAGTAACCCTTCGCGTCTTAGTGGCATTATCGCCATCTTCTGTATTCCTGAAAACTGTTCTTTTATTGTCCTTTCTCCTCTCTAAAGTCTTCTCATTCTCTTTCACTCCCAGTAACCCCTTGCGTCTTAGTGGCATTATCGCCATCTTCTGTATTCCTGAAAGCTGTTCTTTTATTGTCCTTTCTCTTCTCTAAAGTCTTCTCATTCTCTTTCAGTCCCAGTAACCCCTTGCGTCTTAGTGGCATTATCGCCATCTTCTGTCTTCCTGAAAGCTGTTCTTTTATTGTCCTTTCCCCTCTCTAAAGTCTTCTCATTCTCTTTCACTCCCAGTAACCCCTTGCGTCTTAGTGGCATTATCGCCATCTTCTGTCTTCCTGTAAGCTGTTCTTTTATTGTCCTTTCTCCTCTCTAAAGTCTTCTCATTCTCTTCCACTCCCAGTAACCCCTTGCGTCTTAGTGGCATTATAGCCATCTTCTGTCTTCCTGAAAGCTGTTCTTTTATTGTCCTTTCTCCTCACTAAATCTCCTCATTCTCTTTCACTCCCAGTAACCCCTTGCGTCTTAGTGGCATTATCGCCACCTTCTGTCTTCCTGTAAGCTGTTCTTTTATTGTCCTTTCTCCTCACTAAAGTCTTCTCATTCTCTTTCACTCCCAGTAACCCCTTGCGTCTTAGTGGCATTATCGCCATCTTCTGTCATTCTGAAACCTGTACTTTTCTTGTCTTTTCTCCCCTCTAATGTATACTCATTCTCTTTCACTCCCAGGAAGCCCTTGCGTCTTAGTGGCATTATCGCCATCTTCTCATTTTCGGAAAAAGAGAAAATATCAATGAGAATTGGGCAATTTTTGCATGTTATTACCTGTAAGCCCTCTTTAAATCCCGACCTTGTGTCACATACCGTAGCGACGTGGGTACGCTGAAAAATACCGTCTTTTATACACAGTAGCTCCTTGCGTCTTAATGGTATTATCATCTTGCTTGGGGTGAAATGATAAAAATGTAAAGATAGCGACAGAAAGACTATGGTTCGGGGTACGTGGGGTAATGCTGCGGGTGGGGGTGTAGGGCTGCGGGGGGTAGGGTTGCGGGGGGCAGAGGTGCGAGGTGTAAGGGTGGCGATCTGATATTTTGATGGCTCATTAAAATTCTGCCCTGAACCTGGATATCTTCACATTTATTCGACAATTGTTTCAGTCGGAAAGCAAAACAAAATATTCCACTCTTTTTTTCGACACAGATGTTTTCAGTTCTCAAATTATTTCTTTTTCAACACACAAAACTATTTCTTTTCCTTTTGTTTGACATACTTTCTTTTAAAAAAAAATGACATCAGGCAAGAAATTCTTTGCAGCGCAAATGTTTCGGCCAATTTAAAGAAGCAACCATGAAAACAGATGAGATATTATTTCATGACACATTTTACGTTGCACGACGACATAAAATCTCACTTAGAAGTAACACTTTAACGAATTCATTCCTAAATTTGTGCTCCATAAAAAGAGCCTTGTGTCAGACTAAAGAAACTCTCCAAATCAAAAAACCGATACAACTAAACATATTCTTGAAACTAATACTGTGGTGAGAAGAAGAAATAATCCACCACATCGTTAATCAAAATAAATAAATATATATATATATGTGTGTGTGTGTGTCTGTGTTAATGGTCAGAGTTGAATATAATATAGATAGATATAAACAGATTTATTTATAGAGATAGAAAAGCAGATAGATACATAGATAATGAACAGACTGAGATAGATAAATGGTTAGATAGATATGAACAGACTTAGGTAGATAGATATGAAGAGACTGAGATAGATAGATATGAACAGACTGTGATTGACAGATATACATGAAGACTGAGATAGTGCTTTTCCAAGCGGATCGTGGATGTGGCACAATGCCGAAAGTAAGGGGCACCCAGTGAGGATTGAACTCACTACTCAATCATAATTGTTCAAGCAAGACAAGCCTGCTAACCATCACACCACCCCGAGGTGCTCAAGACTGAGATAGATAGATAGATAGATAGATAGATAGATAGATAGATAGATAGATAGATAGATAGATAGATAGATATGAAAAGACCGAGATATCTATCTATCAATGATAACTTCTATGCATGAGAGGGCAATCATTTTTTTTGTTGACATACATTAATGCCTGTACGCTTAGATGTGGGCAGAGTGGAAGATCGAAAAAATGGTATATATATATATATATATATATATATATATATATATATATATATATATATATATATATATATATATATATATATATATATTTTTGACCTTAATTGTCAACAGAAAAAAAAATGATTGCCTCTCTCTCATATATATATATATATATATATATATATATATAACGGTTAATAATTAGAGTCGTATCCATTCTTTCCTTCAGCTCGTTTTTCCAGGTCCCTTTATTATCGTTCAATCATCAAACGCCTGTTATTTTTTTTGAAAGATAATTATATATCGTTCTTTAAGGGCTTTTGTTTGAATAAAGCGTTAAAGTGACCATTTGAAATTATCCCCGACTGTAAATTAATGAGAACTTGACACCAGTCTAGTACTGAGCTTAAATTCTTAATGTCTAGGTATCATAATGAAGAACAATATTTAGTTGTATATATATATATATATATATATATATATATATATATATATATATATATATATATATATATATATATATATTTTATATATATTTATTTATTTTTGTTCTTCTCAATGTCTAAAGAAAATTTTATCGAAAATATGTGTCCACCGAAAATATAATATATAATATAATATATTTAAATTAAAATAATTGTCGGACTTTGTCCATTTTGTAATATATATATATATATATATATATATATATATATATATATATATATATATATATATATATATATATATATATATATATATATCTATCTATATATATTATATATTATATATATATTATATAAACATATATTAAATGTTTGATCTATATATATATATATATATATATATATATATATATATATATATGTGTATATATATATATATATATATATATATATATATATATATATATATATATATATATATAATCCGTAATAAACCAACAACAAAAACAGGATTTTCCCAACCATGTAACAACAAAAGGAGCTAATGCTGCAATCACATTAGACACACAAATTCATTCACTAGCTCAGTCACTAAATCTACTTCAAAATCTACCACGACTCTAACTGTAGAAGTCATAACATAATTTACCTCCTAGAATGCACACTATTCCAGAAACAATATGTAGGAAAATCTGAATGGCCCTTTCACTACAGAATTAATAATTATCGCAATCGAATTAAGTCGACTCCCGATGAAAGATTATTACCTGTAGAAAAACATTTCTGTCTAAAAAGACACGATTTTAAAACCCATGCCAAATTTACTATAATTGAGAGAATAGAAATGTTCAGAGCAGATAATATTAAAAAGATTTTAGAGGGCCATGAAAATAACTGGATTCGGCGTCTAAAAACTCTCTATCCAGACGCGCTGAATCACAAACTCAACAATGTAGATAGTATTAATATATAACTCCACAAATCAGGACCTATCCACATGTCTCTACCAAACAAGACAGACATGCTTGTTGAGGCCTCACTCTTATATACACACCCACATGAATGTACACACTTACACGCATCATACTCACTCACTCCCTAATGAGCCGAATGATAACACACACCGATAGTAAATATACACGCTTACACACATCATACTCACTCACTCCCTAAGAACCAAATAACACACACACACACACACACACACACACACACACACACACACACACACAACAGAGACACATCCCCTTTCCAGGTACCAATAAAACTGTCAAAATGACCAACGGAATTCAGAGCAGCATGAATCCATCCAGTTCTTATCTTAAATAATAACTTAAAAGAGACTGTTTGACCAACACAAAGACTGGCCAAAATTCATGTTAAAAAATAAATAAAAAATAAATGAAAACTACAGATAATGTTCATAAAGAAATATTGTCTTAAGGTGTGCTATATTTATGGGATAAAGTGCTCAATATCAGAGCTAGAGCATATGTAAATATAAATATAAAAGTAAACATTGAACAGTCAGAGGCGACAGGCTGTTTCATACTAGGCGCAATCGTCCAGCATGAAACAGTCTGTCGCCTCTGAGTGTTGACTTCAATGTTCACTTTTATATAATATCTGATGATCGCAAAAGCGTGAAACCCAGGGTCATAAACTCATATCCAAGCAAATGAATATATATATATATATATATATATATATATAAGTGGGGCATAAGGTCAAAAACGGGAATGGAGAAAGGATGCTCTTCTTCTGTCTTATAATTAAACTTAGCTAGACACAATTACTGACCCAAACATACCACAGTATTTCTTACCCCGAAACATCGCATTCTTACATACCATTCTTAATACCTCCACCATAATATTTCAGAATCTTCATAAAGTTCTAACGACTCCTCATATGTACAATTCTTGTCTGGAGAGGGAAATAAAACAACAATTTAAAATCTAAACCCCAATGTGTATTTACAATATAAAAACCTATTTACAAGAAACTAAATAAAATAGAATTAATAATACCCCCCCCTCCCAATCCATAGCAAAGAGCTACCTTGGACAATTAGCATGAACGTATTTACAGAAAAGGCAGAGGGAAGCTACATTACGCTAGTGGGAAAGGGACTGAAGACGAGATGCCAGGTCAGAACCAAAAATATTGCAGATTCTTCTCTGAAACTTTAAATATGTAGCAGAAGCAACGGACCATATGTAGAATCAATATTATGAACATGGGCGAATGGCATACATGTAAGATATATTCTGTCAAGAAAAAAATTGTCTAGCACGACACAGTGAATCAACCGAAATGCCAGATCAGGACCAATAACATTGCAGATTCTTCTCTGGATTGTATCAAGAATCTAAATACATAGACAAGATGTGACAGCAATATTGAAAGCATAAATCTGTAAGATAGATTCTGGAGAGAAAAATAATGTCTAGTACAAGCCAATGAACCAACTTTCCTAGCAGCAAATCTACCAGTTGATTCAATATAATCTTTCCATTTTATGTCAGCCGAAAATGTTACTCCGAGAATGTACAGCGTGTTACTCTCCTGGGGGTTAGCATCAGCCATAATGACAGCAGGTAGAAAGGGATCTCTATTTTGGGGACAGGGTTTTCTGACGCATGCCTTTTTGAAGAATTCTCACTTACAATTTCATCATTAGTTCCACCGAGGTAAAACGGTGGGTTGATTTTGACATCAGCACAAAAACCGACTTTCTTGGATTCTTTGTCGTTCACTTTGATTCCAGATTTGAAAGTGTTGGTTCCATCGCTCTGCTTGAAGCCCTTATTTCGGTAAAACTCTATCTGCAAAAGAATAAAAGAGTCTATTAAAATGTTTCTGTTTATTGTTATATATCAGGGTGCATCAAAAGTACTTTCGTTTTTTATGAGCTTTTAATCCAAAACTTATTTCACGTATACATTTAAAGACCGTCTAGGCAAATTACCTACGCATTGCTGCGTGTCACATATTTTTTAATAAGAAAATGATGATTGATTTTAAACCAATGTTATAATTTGTGGGGAAAAATGATGCATTTCAGTAAAACTCAATGATCTTGCTGATGTGACCTCAAACTTTTGGCTTTCTCCTTCTATATTTTGGATAGGAGTCATTCCCTTGTTCAAATTTAAATTTCATTTAAATCAAAAGGAAAAAAATTGCTCACTATTGAAAAGAAAAAATTCGATAAAAAGGGAAAAAACTTTCAGTCGGTGGTTGTGCAAAAAGCATCTTGATCTAACCCCTTTGATATGTATTTGATGCAATACTTAATTGAATGAATTGATGAGAAGATTTTAACATCGATATGACAGTTGAATTATCGCAACAAATATGTATTGTAAAGCACTACCCACTAATTGGTGAGTTCTTGCTCAACTTGACGTCCATATTGTCTCATTTTGATCTTGCCAATGTGACCTCTATCTTCTGGCTTTCTCCTTCTTTATTTTGGATGAGAGTCATTCCCTTGTTTAAATTTAAAATTAAGTTAAATGAAAGGGGAAAAAATCACTGGGGATGTCTGTGCCCTCCACTGGGGGAATCCACCTTTAATCAAAATCAAATATACTTATCCAAGTACCCTGGTTAATGTAGTTTCAGAATATATATGTTTAGTTGGGTGGGTTGTCTTTCTCCAAAACCCTAAGAGAAATTTGATAACAGGCAGATATGGGTCACAAATATATATAAATATATATATATATATATATATATATATATATATATATATATATATATATATATATATATATCGATATATTATATTCATATATATATATATATATATATATATATATATATATATATATAGATTCGATATATTATAATCATATATATATATATATATAGATTCGATATATTATATTCATATATATATATATATATATATAGATTCGATATATTATATTCATATATATATATAGATTCGATATATTATAATCATATATATATATATATATATATATATATATATATATATATTCGATATATTATATTCATATATATATATATATATAGATTCGATATATTATATTCATATATATATATAGATTCGATATATTATATTCATATATATATATATATATATATATATATATATAGATTCGATATATTATATTCATATATATATATATATATATATAGAGAGAGAGAGAGACGATATATTATATTCATATATATATATATATATATAAAGAGAGAGAGAGATTCGATATATTATATTCATATATATATATATATATATATATATATATATAGATTCGATATATTATATTCATATATATATATATAGATTCGATATATATATATATATATATATATATATATATATATATATATATATATATATATATATCGAATGTAATGAGGACGAAAAAATATAAATTCTAACGTCCACAGCATTAATTTAAAAAAAAGAACTCAATACCAGAGTAGTGTAATAATTATTTATTATAATTTTTTTCACACTTTGGTTTGTCCGTATATAAAAATTATACATATATATATATATATATATATATATATATATATATATATATATATATATATCTTGGTTGGGGAGGCAAAAATGCATAATTTCGATATTCAAATAAAAAAGCCTTATAGTTGATTTATCAGTTTATTTAAAGAAATATGAATGGTTCCAACATACAAATGAAAAACGAAAGAAACATTTTATTCGATATGTCCTCCTTGTTTCTCAATTATTGCCCCCCCACATTACTCTCCCTAAAGCTTCTATAATTCCCCAAAAAGCCAGAGGACATCTTGTCCCATTCTTCTCCCATGGTATCCATAATAGAGTTAACGTTTTCATGAGAGGTTACATTAGTAGTCTGTTCTAAAACGCTCCAAACGCCATAATCTAGAGGGTTGAGATCTTGGCTGGAAGAGGGTGAGAAGTGTGATCGGCACAATTGGATTTGGAGGAATTCTGTACTATTTTGGGATGTATGAGCAGTAATACTTTCACTCTGGGTAGTTGGTTTTCAGCCATTGTAATACATTGTATCTCTGAGTCTTGTAATACCACCAGCATTAACTTCTTCACCAGGTTTGTAAAATATGATTTTTTCCCCATCGGAGGCCACAACAGCAAAGACCATAATTTGAACTGGATGCTTCCTTCTGAAAGTGCCCTTGACATGAACTTTTGAGTGTGCAATGTATCTGTCATTTCTACGATTCAAAACAGCATCAAAAGTAAAGATCTTTTCGTCTGAGAAAATTTTCACAGTGGACATGTTTCTTTTAAGATAAGCAAGAACTTTTTTGCATCTTTCAATCCTTTGTCGTTCATGGGTCGTGTCAGCAAATATCTTAGTCAAGGTTTCAGTTTAAAGTCATCTTTCAATGCTGTTCTGATAGTCCTAGGATCCACCTTAAGTTCACTTGCTAATTTTCTCATGGAGTTTTTGGGGTCTTTGGAGATTATTGTACTTTTTCTTCATTCCGTCACTTCCAGGATTTCTTTGAATAGTTTCCCTCATAGTCATTCTCTTCACATTAAACACTAACCGAAAGGATAGACCCAACTCTGCTCCAAATCTTCTGTGAATGAAAATGTGCATTTATCATATCACACACCCTTTGATATTTGCTTTCCTTAACACTCAGCACTTTACAGAATTATCTGAAAAAGATGTGGGTAATTATTATGCAAGATTATGATAATAAAATTACCAGATTTCATAAAATTAGCTGAACTGCTTTATGAGAAAAACAAAGAAAACTTTTAGCGCAAATTTTGCCTCACCACCCTATATATATATATATATATATATATATATATATATATATATGTGTGTGTGTGTGTGTGTGTGTTAATACATACACATATACCCTACATTTGATGCATATGTGTATTTATTAATATACGTTTCTTAGCTCTGTCTAATCACATTGAACACTATTATGTCTACACTTCTTGGCTAAATTTGGTAACTATTTATTTGCTTACCAGCGTATACACGCCAGTACACACATATACAGTCACTGATATCTAGTTGTCTCATTTACCTAAGCCTATACCTATATATATATATATATCCAATTATATGATTGGTGTATACAGAATAAATTCCAATAACCAACAATCTACATTCAACATCATCACTTGATAAGGTGTTAAAACAAAATGGCTATTTCTGTAGGGATTTTATAACATATTTATGTTATAATTTTAAATAAATAATATATATATATATATATATATATATATATATATATATATATATATATATAGAAAAAGTTTCAAATTAAAATTATAATGTTTTATTTTATGAAAGTATTTATTTATTTATATATATATTTGATATTTCAAATTGTCCTCAATTTTTCATCAGAAATAACTGTTTGTTACAAATAAATTAAAATTACTGTTTGTTGGCAAGTAGCGTCCTTCGAGAGACGCGGACGTCACGTGATATGGAACGTCACTGTTCAGATATTCTAACTTAAATCTAACTGTCATAAATATTTTTAAAAATATTTTTTACTATATCTAAAGAAATTGCTTAGCTATTGAAATATTTATAAAGATTTAAAACACCTAAGTCCCTATTCAACCCCTAATTTATGTGTATTTAATTTTAAAATCCAATATGTTTCTTTTTTTTTTTCTGCGTGTGAATGTGGAAGTAAAATCGGAATCTATTAATAAACATTTGCAGTTTTCTAATGTGTGTCCTGATTGATTGTAGTGTTTAGCTATGGGGGAATAAGGGTTGTTTTGACGTATTGTTTGTTATTGTTATTAAAACGAAATCTAAAATTGTTTCCAGACTCACCAATATATCCACTATTAGGACATAAGTTTCAGAATAAATAATAGATTACGTTATGGGTATCGCAGGTGAGGTTAGGTGGCTGTATCCTGATATTGGTGTTGGGTACGTAAAATGTATTAGCTATTACTAAATGTTTGCAAACTAAGCAACGAGGTTTGTTACATTTGTAATTTCCTGTTTGGTTTCTATTGTTTAGATATTTGGTAGAGGTGAGGTTAGCTGATAAGTTAGGTGATTGTTTCATTGCATTTATGGGTGGTTTATCGAAAATGTCTTTGATCTTGTTGTCTAATTGGAGGTTCTTGTAATCATTTTTTTTAAATTGTGAATAAGTGTGTGGGAATATTGATTGTGGTTAAAAAACCATGGGAATCCGATTGTTGTTTTTATTTTTCTTGTATGTGAGAAGTGTGTTACGATTTATCAGGATAGTTTTACTTAGTGCTTCTTTTATTATTTTTATTGGGTATTTGCATTTTACGAATTGTTTTGTTAAGTTATTAATATTGTATAGAAAATCTAAATGGTCTGAGCATATGCGTTTGGTTCTAAGAAATGAGCTGTATACAATAGATTTTTTTAATTTAAAGGGATGACAGCTGTTAAAGTGCAGGAATTTATGTTGGTTTGTGGGTTTGTTGTATAGACTGGTAGAAAGTGTATGTTTGTTTAATTTTATCATAACGTCTAAGAAAGGGATGGATGTGTATGAGTGCTCCATGGTAAATTTAATTGTATCGTGGAAATTGTTGCAGAAAGTGAAAAAAAGGTTTTAATTTTTCTGATCCATGAGTCCATAATAAGAAAATGTCATCAATATATCTAAAGTAATGTGATGGTTTATATTCCGAATTGTCTAGTATCTTCTTTTCTAGAATGTGCATAAAGATATTAGCATAACTAGGTGCCATTTTTGTGCCCATTGCTGTGCCACTAATCTGTAAATAGTGTTTGTTGTTGTATTTAAAATTATTATGTGTTAAGATGAACTTTATTAATTGGCATATATCTGTAATTTGGTAGTTAGGTAATTTTTTTGTTACTAAGGAACTCATAGCAAGCTGATACTCCTTCAACATGTGGAATGTTCGTGTAAAGGGACGAAACATCCATCGTTACTAGGATTGTATCATGGTGGACTAAGTTAATGTTTTGTAATTTGCTGAGAAAGTCAGTAGTGTCTCTAATATAACTAGGTATGTCAGGCAATAAAGGTTTTAGGATATTGTCTATGTACCCAGATATAAGTTCTGTGAGGGTGCCAATGCCTGATAGTATGGGTCTACCAGGTGGCATGATTTTAAGGGTTTTGAAATTTCATAGATGTTCTCTTCATTATTTGATTGTGTAATTTGATGTGGGTCGGATGAAAAAGTGTTAGGGTGTTTTTCTGAAATGATTTTGGGGAGTTTATGTAGTTTTGGGATAGTGTAGAATGTTGCTGTTTTAGGGTTCTCAGGAATAAGAGATTTTATGGTATTTTTTTATGTTGTAGTTCAGGTTCTGGTGAAAGTGATAATTCTGTTTTGAATGTGCTAGTTGGGTCTAGAGGTAAGGGTACATAGAATCTGTTATTTTGAAGTTGTGATTCTGCTTCTTTAATGTAGTGGTTAGTGTCTAAGATGGTTATAGCTCCGCCCTTGTCGGCTGGTACGATAATTATGTCTCGGTTGTTTTAAGAGTATAGATGGCTTGGTGTTCTATTTTGGATAAGTTGTATTTTTTTTATCTGGTGTCCTTTGTTTTTTAAAAGTAATCCATGTGTTGTCTGGCTTTGTGGGCATATTGATCCAAGTGTTGGTTACGTCCGCTTGGTGGGGTCCATATATTGTTCTTCGTCGGAGGAAGTTTGGAGCATGATTGGTTAGCGCTGTTGTCTGTATTAGAAGTAGGTTTGTTGTCTGAGAAATATTCTTTTAGTCTCAGTCTACGAAGGTATTTTTCCATATCGTAGCAAAGGTTTAGAGGTTTTAGTGGTTGTGAGGGGCAGAATGATAATCCTTTATTTAATAAAGAGGTTTCTCCTTGGGTGAGAGTGTATTTAGATAGGTTAGCGATGTGGTTATCAGCAGAGGTAGTATTGGTGTAGTGAACATAATGAGATCTTCGTGGGATCTGTTGTATTAAATAATCTTTCAGGTAAGTTATGTGTTGTAAAATGGGGTCCTCAGCAATTAGTTTATTGAGTTTTTGGTTTTTCAAAAATATACACTGTGTCAGTTTTTTTGGTACAGGAAATTGAGTGCTTTTTTTACTTGAGAGTATTGAAACGGAGAAAGTGTTAGGTAGAGAGAATAACTGATTTTTTAGATAAGTTCATGTAAAAAGATTTTTTTAATGTAAGCAGTGTTGTACATAAGATTTCTTAATTGCGTGGAGGTTCTGTTGTATATATATGTTGGGCTTTTTTGTTTTTGCAATGTAATAAAACTATGTTGGAAATTGTATTTAAATCGGAATCATTTTGGTATTAAGTCCATTTTCTTGCAAAGTCCGAAAATATAATATCCGAGTGTGTCTGTGCCAGTTTGTAGAAAATCTTTTCTAGTTTTCTTCTATCGTGAGATTTTTGCCGTTTAAGTAGGGTCCAAATTATGCTATATATATATATATATATATATATTGGAAGTGTTACCTGATGATCCGAAATCCTTTAAAAAGGATTTTGGTGAAATAAATTATTGTAATGGTACCTTAAAGTGTCTGTTTTTCATTATATATATATATATATATATATATATATATATATATATATATATATATATATATATATATATATCCATTTCCATCCTCTGTTTCAGATATTTAAATTGTTGTACTGTTCTCATACTTGCAATTTGTATGTTAGGTTGTCCCTTTTGCTAACAATTATGGATTCTGTCTTCTTGCAGTTGATGTTTAGTCCTACCTTTTCTTCATTGACTTCTGTAGGAGTTCTTGTAGTTTTCCTTTCTGTGTCTGCTATCAAAACTGTGTCATCAGCATATCAGCTAAGATTGTGATCACCAATAATGAGTCCTGGTAGGACTTTTAATTCTCTCAGAATCGTCTCACTGTACCTTAATAAATCCGGTGAGAAGACCCATCGTTGTCTGAAATTTCTTTCTATTTTTTGTATATTTACTGAACTCATTTCCTATTCGTATGCAGGCCTTTTGCTGTCGATATAAGTTCTGGATTATTTTAATGTCCTGGCCAAATATGTCAAAGTTCAGGGCAATTCCAACAGTTTTTTTTGTGACATACAGTGTTCATAGTTTATAATCTGTTCTTCTGAAACTACCCACAAGAAGACCACGCCCTCCGAAGAAGAAGATACATTGCTGCTACCATAATTAATCATTCAGTATGTCTTTCATTTAACAATAGACGCTTTGTGATTACAATTGACCTCCTGATTATAACATTAACAACAATGTCTGACTTTCGCTGTATCTCTGAACCAAAGACAATTTTAACTTTATCAACTAATGAAAATCCCATTTATTTTAAATAGACATTTTTTTTTTTTGCTGTTGTACTTATTTTTTAGAACGAAGCCTATAGACTTTTTCTGTATATAAGACATATATGGATAAAAAAAAGACAATTAGAAAATAGTTCTTAGTCCTTGTCGACGCATTTCGTCATCCGACCTAATGAAGGCAAGTGATGATAAACAAAAGTGAAACGTTGTGTAGTTACATCAAATTCAAAAATTAAAAAAAAAAAAAATGATCCTGTGTAAATTTCTTTCTGGATTATTGGTAACTTTTTTTTATCTTTAGAATTATTCTGAATTATTAACACTGTTGCCGACATGGAAAACAAAAACAAACTCTAAGTAAAAAGAGTGGTAGCACTTGTTAGGATCCTAGATAGGGGTAAACATTGAGCCCCCAAATTAAAATTGGAACACTATGAAGGTATAAAAATACAGTTTTATAGTAAAATTACCAGCAAAATTTCATACCTTATGTTCTCGCGTATCATGCGACTTTTGAAGACCCAATTTTGAAGCTAATTTTAAGGAGGTCGCATCATACACGAGATATAAAATTAGTGTATGTACTGCTGGCCCTGGCTACACGGTTGACCAAAATATCCATGTACTATAGTCAACAAGTACAGCTGTATTTAAAATAAATGTGATTTTGATAAAACTAAAGTTTTACTTAACTGTATCCAATAATAATGCATGTAATATTCACATATTAGTATTGTATTATAAAATACAAACATATGCATCTTTTCCATTGTTTACGTTTATAAGGTGTTTAGCTGTTTCTCATTTGGTCATTTATGGCTGTATGCGTTTACGGAACGAGTATAGCGTTACTAAGGATACTTTTATCATTCTCTTTTACTCTTTGAACTTATTTAACTAGAAGATTGGGATAAAGAGATAGAGGAAAAGAGGTAATTTCGTCTCTCAGAAAAGGAACTCACGATACGCGAGATACATAATCAACTGATTTTCATAAGAGAAAATTTAGGGGTCGTACGATACACAAAATCGCGCGTTACACATGTATATCATATTTTTATTACTTCATAGCTCCCAAGAAAAGTAAATTATGACATTAAATGACCCACTAGGTGTTGATATGCTATTAAACAAACTATAACTATTTATAATGAAAATACTTTTGATATAACATTGACGGTGATTAAACCTTATGCTAAAAAAGAATAAAATAAACTGTAATACAGTGTAACCCGGATATAAGAGACCCGGATATAAGAGACCCGGATATAAGAGAGATTGTCTCTGGTCCCAAATTAGAGCCTGTGTTAATGTATATAAATTAGACCAAACCCGGATATAAGAGAAACCCGGATATAAGAGAGATTTTCTCTGGTCCCAAATTAGAGCCTGTGTTAATGTATATAAAATAGACCAAACCCGGATATAAGAGAAACCCGGATATCATATACAGTGTAAACTGCATATAAGAGAGTTGTCGGGACCGGAGAAGAAGTCTCTTATATCCGGGTTACACTGTACATGATTTTTATAAAAGAAATTGTAAGCGTTACCTTATAACGTTTGTTTAGGTGGATCTTTTTCGGAGATTCGATATATGACCCATGGCTTGAACCTGTGCCATATTCGGTGGGGTTAAACAGAAAATAGGTCAAATGACCATTTTGCAGGAAAAGAGCTTCGAAATCTCTTTGACCTCCTCTTGCATAAAATATCAGACCATTGTCTTTTTTAGTCATGATTTCCAGTTTGTAGTGAGCGCTGAAAAAGAGAAAATGGTAAATGGTAATTGGAAGCAGATTCTGATGCAAATGGAATGATGGAAGGGGATCATGGCGCAAACAGAATATTGGAATGGAGATATTTTTTTTTCAGTATTGGAAGTTGGCAATAATATTAGAGGTGGATAAATGGTCAGGGTTAGGGTCAAATAAGACATTAAAAACAGACTAAATTCAAATGGAATACTGGAAGTTGACCATGACTCAAATGGAACCATTGAAAACGTTCCTGACTCAAGTGGAACCTTGGAAGTTGGAATACTGAAATTTGATCATAACTCAAATGGAACCATGCAAGTTGACCATGATTTAGATGGAATTTTGGAAGCTGATCACTACGAAAATGAACCATTGAAAGTAGTCCTGTATCAAATGGAACCTTGGAAGTTGACCATGATTCAGATGGAATACTGAAATTTGATCATGACTCAAATGGAACCTTGTAAGTTGACCATGATTTAGATGGAAGCTGATCACGACGAAAATGAAATATTGGAAGCTGTTCTGACTCAAATGGAACCTTGGAAGTTGACCATGATTCAGATGGAATACTTGAAGTTGATCCTGACACAAATGAAACTTTGGTAGTTAATCATGATTCATATGGAACGTTAGGAGTTGTCCTGACTCAAATGGAATGCGGACCTGAAATCAATGGAATCTTTGGCTGTTAATAACTCAAATTGAACCTTGAAAGTTGACCATAACTCAAATAGAACATTGTAAGTGGTCCTGGCTCAAATGGAAGCTTGGAAGTTGATCATAACTCAAGCACATCATTGAATATATATGACAGCTCAAATGGATCACAGCAAACAGATTAAGTTCCCTATCATTACGACCGTACATATGCACAATGAAATACGAGTGCCTGGAATTTTAAAAAACTCTGCGGTGTCCCTGGGAGCTATGTCACCAAGTTGCCACGGTGCATATTTTGGGAATCACTACAATAAGTAAATGGAATGATTAACATAAAGAAAGCATCGCTGTTTTTTTCTTTATCGAAAAGAAAGAATAAAAAAAAGAAAGACAAAATACAAAGACAGTTTCACGGGGAGGTTCGTCAGTACCAAACCGTTTTCGCATCACAACCTACTTATTCTGTTAGTGATTTTTTAACGGTACATAAAAAACTGAACAATTGCATTTATGTACGAACAGAAGGACAACATTCTGAAGGAATACTTTCTTTAGATAATTTATATTCATAATTTACATTTCTTTCAGTTATTTCACATCAAGCAAGGCGATAAAGCCCCTGGGACGCAGGTGCTAACCGAGGCGTCTCTAGGCGCAAACACTGTCATCCCTGGGTGTCTCGAAGAGTTAAGAGAGGCGTCCCTGGGAGCTCAACGATGCGTCTCTAGGAGCAAACAGTGGAATGCCTGGTAGAATGCCGACTCATCTCAAGTAGAAAACCGATCTGACTCTAGGAGTTAACCGCGGCGTCCATATGAGCTAACCATCGCTTCCCAATGAGCTAACCTTTGCGTCTCTGGAGTTAACTGTTGCCACTAGAAGTTAACAGTGGCGTCTCTGAGAGCTAACCTTTGCGTCTCTAAAAGCTAAACGAGGCGTTTCCAGGAGAACTCGTGGCTCGTCTCTAGGAGTTACAGGAGGCGTTTCTAGGTGCTACCCATCGAGTCTCTAGGATCTAACAACGGCGTCCATAGGAGCAAACGGACGCGTCTTTAAGAGCTAACCGAGCGTCTCTGGAGCTAACCTAGGCGTCATCAGGAACCGTGGCGTCTCCGAGATCTAACCAACGCGTCTCTAGGAGTTAAACAAGGCGTTTCTAGCTACTATACTTCGAATCTCTAAGAGCCAACCGACGCGACTCTAGGATCTAATAGAGGCGTCCCTGGGAGCTAACGGACACGTCTCTAGGAGCTAACCCGGCGTCTCTGAAAGATAACCTTTGCGTCTAAGAGCTTAACTAGGCGTCTGCAGGAATAAACCGGTTCGTCCCTGGGAACTAACTGAATCGTCTCTAGAAGATAATCTTCGCTCCTCTAGGCGTTAACAGCGGCGTACCTGCGAGCTAAGCGAGGCGTCTCTGAGTTAAAAGGGGTGCCTTCAGGATCTAACCGAGGCATCTCTAGGAGTTAACCTTGGCGTCTCTGGAAGCTAACCGAGGTAGATATATCTAGGAGGTAACCGCGGCATCTCCAGCAGTTAACCGCGGTGTCCATGGGATTTAACGGCGGCGTCTTTGGGAGAAGCTAAAGAGTTTCTAGGAGCTAACATTCCGAGGCGTTCCTGGTTGCTGACAGAGGCATCATTATGGGCTAATCACGGCGTCCCTTGGAGCTAATCTTCGCCTTTCTAGGAGCTAACCGCAGCATGAGTTAGACACGGCGTCCCTGGTACCTAACCGACGCGTCTCTTGGAATTTACCGGTTCGTCCCTGGGAGCTAACCGACGCGTCTAGAATAAAAACGAGGAATCTCTCGGAACAGCGGTGTCCAAGGGAGCTAAACTTTGCGTCACTAGGAGTTAAAGGCGGCGTCTCTAAGTGCTAACCGAAACGTCTCAAGGAGCTAACCACGGCGTCCATGGGCGCTAACCTTCGACTCTCTAGGAGCTAACCAAGGCGTCGCCAGGAGCTAACAGTGGCATCTTCGAAAGCTAACTGACGCGTCTCTAGGAGTTAAAGGAGTCGTCTCTAGGAGCTAACCCTGGCGTTTCTAGATGCTACCTTTCGAATCTCTAGAAGCTAACAGAGGCGTCCCTGGGAGCTGACTGACGCGTTTCTAGGACCTAACCGCGGCGTCTCTGAGAGATAACCTTTGCGTCTCTAAAAGCTAAACTAGGCGTCTTCAGGTTCTAACCGTGGCGTCCCTGGAAGCTGACAAAAGCGTCTCTAAGAGGTAACCTTCACGTCTCCAGATGCTAACAACAGAGTCACCAGGTGTTAACAGCGACATCTCTAGGTGTAAACCGCGGCGTCCATGGAAACTAACAGAGACGCCTCTAGCAACTAACCGTTGTGTCTCTAGGAACTAACCTTCGCGTCTGTAGGCACCAACCATAGCGTCCCTGGGAGCTAATCAACGTATCTTTAGGTGTCAATCAAGGCACCTCTAGAAGCTATCCGCGGCGTCCCTGGTATGTACCAAAGCGTCTTTAGGAATTAACCAGTTCGTCCCTTGAAGCTAACATTAATTTCTCCAGATGTTAACAGAGTCGTCTATATGTGCTAACAGCGTCGTCCCTAAGAGATAACCGACGTATCTCTAGGAGTTAACGTGGCGTTCCTAGGAGCTAACCACGGCGTTTCTGGGAATTAACTGATTCGTCCCTGGGAGCTAACTTACGCGTCTCAAGGAACTGGGAGCTAAGCGAGACGTCTCTACGAGTTAACCGCGACGTCCCTAGAAGCTAAACGAAGCATCTCTAGAAGATAACGACGTCCCTGGAAGCTTACCAAGGCGTCTCTAGGATTTAACCGAGGCGTCTCTAGGAACTAATCGAGGAGTCTCTAGGAGGTAACTGAGGCGACCTTGGGAGTTATCCCTGGCGTCCCTGGGAGCTAACCGCTGCGTCCCGACGAATATTATTCAGAGCCCTTTCTTTAATCATGGAACCAATGAAAAGTGAAAAATTTCTAAATATAAATGCTGTAAGTTTGAGAAAATTCATTGTTCAATTTTACAGTAATTTGTACATAATTTTCGAAGGCTGAAGAAGAAATAGGCCGAAATATTAAAGTAACAATAAAAGCAACAAAAGGAATAAGAAGAATAGTTTGAACAGCTCATCTGGGAATTCTCAAGATAGGCGGTAACACATTGAGAACGGGTTTTTGTGAAACAGTCTCAATGAAGCAGAAGATCAAATGTTGGATTAAAAACGAGGGAATTTAAAAATTACTGGATCGGAATAAAAAAAAATCGTAGCGTCTTATACGTGAATTTCAAAGACAAAATTCATATATTTCTACATAGATTTATTCAGCTACGTATTTTGTTTCACTAACTTTCGCCATAATTGCAATAGCTACATGATTCTATCTTCTCAGAATTTGGCATTGTTTCGGATATTTAATCTGGTCTAAGTAGTTCTGAGTTGTAAAAGAGAAGAAAGTGCCTTACGTGTTGGTTATATTGACTGTCGAGTTAAAATATAACCAGGCGTCAACTCCATCGAATCGGAAGCAACTATCACACGATACACCCACCAAAACCTGTAAAAATGAAATAGACAGAGTTATAATAATAATAATAATAATAATAATAATAATGCATCATTCTAAGGCTGATGTTGATCCTCTGCATGTGACCAGATCCAAAGGAGGTAGAGGATTAGTTCAACTAGAACTGTCTTAGAAAACCACAACAATCGGTCTTCAATGAAACTGAAAAAGGCAGAATGGTGATCTGTGTCAAAGAACACGAAAGAAATAAGAAACTTTATTCAGTAATGAAGGAAGCTAGCAAATTCAAAAAGTAATTTCAAGTGGGTGGAGAAGTTCAAATAAAGCATAATACACCCACCTCAGTGGCAAAGAACGTAAAAAAGAACGGAAAAGCAAATGCAATGCACCAAATACAGAAACCATTGTAAGTTAAGCCTCTTCATGGTCAATACTCAGCCCGTACCAAACAAACAGATGGAGACAAACCCCGTATCCATCAGGAGAGGGTTAAAAGCTGAAACCAAAAGTTTTATTCTTGCTGCACAAGACCAATGCTTACTGACTAGAAATTACCAAGTACATAATGAAAAATTGTGTTGACCTGAAATGCAGATTCTGTGATAAATATCCAGAAACAATTGACCATCTTGTATTAGGTTGCAAGGTGTTAGCAACCACTGAATATAAAACTCGACCGAGTGGACCAATATCTGCACAGGAAAATCTGAAACTTTTACGGGAAGGAAACTGCAAGTGGTATGAATATCACCCAGACCTGTAACAATTTCATGGGACTTTACACACAAGCAGAATAATTAAAGCTAATCGCCCAGATATCGGGATCAAAGAATGCAAAAATAGAATGTGCTTTCTTATTGACATGGTAGTCCTTGCAGATTGCAATGTATCTTTGAAGATCTTCAAAAAACTATCAAAATACAAGGACCTTGAAGTGGAAATCTCAGATAATATGACACATGACAAATAATTCCAGTTGGATCCCTCGGATTGATTGGAAAAGGTTCCGATAGATTCACTGAAGAGAATCCTGGTAGCCCAGGCCTTAAAGAAATTCAAAAAATTGTTCTCACAAGTACAACTCACGCCTTACAATGGGCTTTATTTATGTAAAATATGATTTAAAAAAATGCTCAGTGGAACATGTCATGATGCCATTTCTGAGCTTAGGTTTCTGGTTGGGACCGGGAGAGAAATGAGTATAAATTAGAAATCAAAAGAAATAGTAACAATAACAAAAACGACAACTAGTGAGAGTTTATTAAAATTTCACAATATTTTAAAAATATTTTCACATAGATTTATCGCGCAATGTCGTTATTTTAAGAAGTAAGAGGGTACAAATGAAATGATTTAAAATTGATGACGTTTTTCATTTCACTGAAGCAGACGTTAAACGTATGAGAGCATTATCAGCTTTTGTTTTTGTCTTTTTTCTTTCTTTCTTTCTTTCTTTCTTTTTTTTTCTCACTAAAACCAAACGACCACTATGATATAATTTCTTTTCACTAAAATCTTAATCTATTCGATTTTAGGGTCAACCATTATCTATCCTACATATCCTCATAATATTCACTTCTCACTTTCTTCCTTTACGTCTTTACAACAAACTCCTTCAGTAACCTTCTACATTGAGTGGCTCTTGAGACTTGTATTGGGTAAACAACAGTATCACAAACACATATATGCAAAAGTAAGTATGCCATATATATATATATATATATATATATATATATATTATTAAATATAACAGACAATGAATGTCTATTGATTCTGATTATAAGCCGTTCTAATGTTAGAATATATAGAATTTAGTAGGGTGTGTTAAAGTAGATGCTATAGGACTCTCCTTCGATCAGACAATTACACAAGTTGCGGGCCATGACATAAAAAACGAATACAGAATAAGCGCTAAAGCGATTTTCCTGATGGGAAAAAAATTAATACAGGTTCAAATCCTGCTGGGAAGCACATTTTATTTTAGTAAGACTTCTCGATCCTTAGACCGGTTGACATTAAATCCACTGTTTAAAAAAAATTCAGGAATATCAACTCAGACACGTGTACACACTACAAACAACATATATAGTGACACACACGCATATATATATTAAAAACAAGTAAAAAAGACCAATAATTATCATGTTACAACAGTGGTAGTAGCGCCTGTTAGGGTCCCAGCTGTGGGCAAATAGTGACCTCCCCAACAAAAACAAAACATTATGAAAGTATAAAAATATATTTTATAGTATAAATACCAGTAATACTTTTTTTTACATGAATTTACTAAAAATACCTATTTATAGTAGAATGAATAACATTTTATCTGTAGATGAAGTCATACAATTGCGTTCAACATATTCAAATTTCGGTATTAAATAACCCATAGAGTTTGATATGCCGCTAAACAAAATCAACCAAATCGTATGTCAACACAAGATGAATCTGCAATATTATCGGTGCTGATCTGGCGTCTCGGCTTCAGTCACTTTCCCTCCGACGTAAGGTTGCTTCCATGTGTCTTTTCTATAAATATTTTTACGGTAATTGTTCGGATGAGCTCTTCGCCATAGTGCCTAGTCTTTTTGAAGTCAAATGCAGTAATTGACTGGCTAGGTGTAGCCGTAAATTCTAAGCCTACAGTTTCTTTCCTCGCACTTCTCGCTTGTGGAACTCACTTCCGGCTCTATGCTTTCCAGCCAACTTTAATCTGCAACAATTTAAATGTAATATCAGTCGCTATCTACTGTCCTCTTGATTGCTTTTTCGTCTTCCCGCTGATGTTTCTTTTCATAATTCTTCTACACCCAGTAACTGCTTGCGTCTTAGTGGCTTTATTGCCTTGATTGATGCGAAATCGATTAGAAATTAACGCAATCACTAAAACAACTCATAAGCCTAATATCCCCTATTTAGAAAAAAAGTGGAGGGGGAGATACAAAATGAAACATGCTTTTTATTTATATATCATGAAACCCATGAAAATAATGAAATTATTTCCGATGAGTGAAAAAAATATTAATATGGGAGCCTCCACGCAGCAAAAATATGGCAGAAAAACAAGTTAAAAAAATGGTGGAAAACGTAAAATTAAATAAATACATAAAATGAAACATTCCCAGCCCTCCAGAGAAATGTGCTTTCCGTTATCTACAGGGGTGGGGAATATGTGGGGGACTAAAACGGGATAGGGTGGGGTGCGGTCTGGTGGGAGGATTGACCATTCATTCTTTTTTACCATTTTTTAAAAACAAGACAAAAACTTCTACTCAAACCTAAATGGGTCGGACAGACATGTTTTCCCCGAAGAGACAAGTTCTTCAACCCGTCGGCTCTCGAGATGTCTCTCAAGGTTAGCACCATTCACTCGCACCCAATCGGGCAACAGTCATCTATTTTTCTGCAAAGTCCTCAGATTTGGTTTGGTTTGTTTTACGGCATATCAACCCCAATGGGTTATTTAATGCCGACAAAATTATTTCTGGTAATAATTTTTCTTCAAAGATGTATAACTTCCAATATCTTTTCTTTTTTTTTTAAATGTATTTTTTACAAAGTATTTCTGGTATTAAAACCTATTTTTATACTTACATAGTTTTTTGACCCCAGTTTGAGGGTTAACTATTTGCCCATTACTGGGACCCTAACAGGTGCTACCACACCGGGTCAGGGTGGACCTGGGAACACCAGCAATTCAGACGTGGTTCCACGCTCCTCAAAAACCGCCTGATCAGAGGCCTTGCTGTTGCATGTAGTTTATCGTCTTACCCAGGACGCGGATGTAGTTTGCAGTCTTACCCAGGACGCAGATGTAGTTTATCGTCTTACCCAGGACGCGGATGTAGTTTGCAGTCTTACCCAGGATGCAGATGTAGTTTATCGTCTTACCCAGGACGCGGATGTAGTTTGCAGTCTTACCCAGGATGCAGATGTAGTTTATCGTCATACCCAGGACGAAAGTCCTTAGAAGAAAACCACTTCCTCTCCACCCTGCGACCACATCATGTTGAAACGCCGGTTCCTGTACGATAACCAAAGTTAAACAACGTCGAGTCTAGTCAGTACTTATATGGGTGACCGCTTGGTAATACCGGGTGCTGTAAGGTTGGATGTGCGGGTGGTGTAATGTATAATGACTCGGAATTGTTAAGTGGAGAGCCGATTTCCAATTCAAATTGGGATTCATTTCTGCACACATTGGAAAGGTACGAATCCAATTTCCCCCCCCAGCTATGGGTTAATTAGTAAAACTTGTATGACTAAAACCATTATTATCTCCAAAGATAAAAATATGAAATTGCGTACGGAATATTTAGATTTTGCCATTAAATAACCCATAGAGGTGTTGATATGCTGCTAAACAAAAACAAGCAACCAAGTCGATCTTGACCTGATGCTTAAAGAACGGAACAAGATGATGAGACCCTAACCCTAACCCATGAGAAGAGAGAGACGATGCCCCGCGGGTTTCCTCCATCCTCGTCGTTTAGAATTGCATCACAGCGTAGCAAGCACAGAGTGCTTCCTCCTGTCCGACAACGAGCATTGCACCCAGGATGAAGAATATTCTGTGCAGCATGTGAACCATGTAGCCTTCAATAAGCTCACACAGCGGGCGTGCAACCGGGCAGTGAAAGAAGGCATTCTCGGTAGCCTCCTCCATTCCCCTACACCGGACGCCTTCTGGCGAAGCAACTAGTCCTGCCACAAAAGACCCTTTGTCGACCCAGAGAGCATCCCGAATCGTCAGCCAAGTGAGGGAAGCCTCGCTATGAGTGAGCCATTTCAATCTAGGAGGCCAAGGACTCATGGAGCGATATTCCCACCTCGTCAAACCGAGCACCTTGATCAGATCGCCGTGAACACACTCCCTAACAAACACCTGGTATATTGCCTTCCTCGACAACGGGACTAGAGCGAACATTTCAGAGCATGATGGCATTCGCTGCAGAAGGAGCACGGGACAAACATTTCCCCCCCCCCACTGTGTGCTCAAGGGCGGGAAAGCTGTTTTGGCATCTTCCTTCTTGAAGTTGTCGTCATCGTGTGTACGCATCCAGTCAAGAAAATGCAGTAACCCGACGGGTCTCTAAGACCGGCACTCCAAGACCACCCTCGGACGGATGGAGCTAGCAGACATCACGACCCAGCATAGAAGCTCTGCTGCACCAAAGCGGGCAAAACAAGGCTTTCACTAGATTATATAGTATGCCGGACGGGAGTAAAAGTACTGAAAAACTGTAAAGGATGAGGGAGGCAGATGTACGTAACGCCCACCTCGGCTCTCCCCTTCAAGGAAAGATTCCTTTGCAGCTTAAAGATTGACCGCGGTTACAAGGTTCCTCAAAATATCAGGGATTTTTCTACAGCTGGAAATCGGGACCGAACAAGACGCCGAGTATCTTGCACGTCCCATTCTTCCAACTAAAAGGGTCCAGGAGAGGCAAACCATTCCACGAAGCAAACAGGCAAGCCAACAGACATTGCGGTTAATCATGACCGTCTCACACGTCTGGATTTCTCTTCGGACTTAGTCAATCTTGGTAGTGCTCGTTACAAGGTTATCCCACCAAGGACCGGATTCGCCCTTAATCTGCACAGAAAAGGCTCCAGTGCGGGCACATAGAGAAAGGGCGATGCTGATGAATGGATCTGGATAAGATGAAGGGCTTCGGCTTCTATCGGTTCACTTACAACACAGAATCGGGACTCGCATACAAGAGGCGAAACCAGGAACGCAAGTTCGGTATGAATCCAGCCGCGGACAAAGCAACCTCCAAAAAACGATGTGGACCATCTGACAAACGCCTTGGGCTGATGCAAGTTGATTAGCGCGGCTTCTCGATGATCGTGCGTATCAAGTGAATCTTATCTTGGATCGTCCGACCCCTAACAGCACTAGTCTGTTCAGGGGATACGAGACTATCGAGCACAATCTGCAAACGGTTTGCCAGGATCTTGGCCCAAATCTTTAACTCTGGATTAAGCATTGTTAAGAGCCAAAAATTATCAATCCCTACTCCATGTGTGTTCTTGCGTGGAAGCTTCTCAACACACCTGGTGAAACCCTGGAGAATAGACCCCTGTTCCATCCAGTGGTTGAAGAGAATTTCCAACAAGAAGACAACATGGGCGGCAGCCTCAAATATACGTCGTAGGGGAGACCATCGATGCCAGGAGGACTTCCCGACTTTCTTCAACAAAACCCAGATATCCTTCTGTTGTGGAGTGATTTCACAGTGGAGGCTTGTATTTGTACTAAGTCGGTCCTAAAATAGGTTCGACGTACAAAATGTTAGGAACTTGATATAATAGGTAATGACGCAAAGAAATCTGGTTGTGGTCGCCGATACTTTAGTATCCGACTAACGGTCGTCCGGCATCGACTGACTGCCCGACCCACGAGCGATATTCAGTCACCCCCCCACAAGGGCATCGGCCCAAAATATGCCCCTTTAAAACCCGTATAAACGGGTTCAGGGTCGGTTTATCTCCCCGAAAGAGACTCCGCTCTTCGGCGCAGCCTCGTTCGGGTTCCTCCCCGCCCGAAGGCAGAGAGTTCAACCGGTCAGCCGGTCGTCCGACTTCAGACTGAACTCAGATCGACCCACTGAGCGATATTCAGTCACCCACCACGAGGGCATCATGTGGCACAAGGCCGGTTTAACGTGGGAACTCCGAGCCCGTGGACTCGGTCAAACATATGCCCATTGAACTCATATAAACGGGTTCAGGGTCGGTTTACCTCTCCGAAAGAGAATCCGCTTCGGCGTAGCCTCGTTCGGGTTCCTCCCCGCCCGAAGGCAGAGAGTTCAACCGGTCAGCCGGTCGTCCGACTTCAGACTGAAATCAGACCGACCCACTGAGCGACTCCTCGTTACTCTTACTACTCCTACTTATTATAGGTGGGAGAGTCTATTGACTATAGAATAGGTGTGTTCCACTATAACACCTCTTCTGCTATTCGACCCCCCCCCGCCACAACTAATTGCTTCAGTCTTCTCGAGGCGAGGAAAGTCAGCGAAATAGTTGTCGAACTGAGCCGAAATGAGACCGGGCTCCCTGGTGAAGTGCTTCTGAAAGTAAACAAATCTTCCGACATATACCCTCGTCTTTTGTCAGGATCTTCCCATCCGGTGATATGACAAGCGATATGCTGATCAGAATCTGCAGCCATATTCGTTTAGACATGCTATTTAATCTAACTCTAACTACCAAAGCTTCGTTCTTCTCGTTAAGAAAGGCGACCAGCTCCGCCTTAGCTATAGCTACCCTATCACATCTCCCGATTTGACAGCGTCCTCTATTCTAAATTCAGGTGCCATTTGCGATGTTATTTTATCTAGTCTGGTGTCTAATAACGCCCTCAAAGTGTCCCCCGCTACTTATTTCCAAACACAGAACCCATCAATTCCCTCTGTATTGCTAGTAACAGCTGGTTCCGGAAATCCTTTACGTTCAATAAAGAAGTGTTAAATTTCCAGTAGCCAGCCATTGTAACCTTTGCCGGTAAATTTCTATTTTGTTTCCCGAGCGCTAATATCCCTTCAAATTTTTCCAAAATAGTCTTATTTTTGTGCAAATGTACAATGCTGAACTCAAATCAACAATTAGATCATGAAGAAACCTACCTTTTTGGATGTTAATTACCAAAAAAAAAAAAATAATCGGACTTCTTCTCGGTCTTTCGTCAGCCATTACCGGCTTATTGAGAAGTAATTCACTGCCGAAAGATTTTTGGCGGAGTCATAAAATTTGAGCCTATTTACTTCTTTTACTTTTTCCTTGCAAAAAATCACTACGCACTACCGTAAAGAAATGTAATTTTTTTTTTTTTGGTAAGTTTAGTTTTATTTATAACAAAAACGAATTAAATAATACAATAGAACCTTTTTCCGTTTCGAATAGCAATGACAAATTAAAAGAACAAATTAAATAATAAAAATATAGCATTTTTTATATTGTAAAATTAATACACAAACTTGGTAAAGTAGAAGGGTTGATTGTATTTATTTTATTTGTTTTTAAATTGTCCCCTTTTCTACACAGAATAAAAACCCCAACCCTAACCTGGGAAGACGATAAACTACATCCGAGTTCTGGGTAAGACGATAAACTATGTCTGACAGCAAGGCCTCTGATCAGGAGGTCTTGAGGAGTGTGGAGCCACGTCTTAATTACTGGTGTTCCCAGGTCCACCTTGACCCGGGGTGGTAGCACCTGTTAGGGTCCCAGCTATGGTCAAATACATAACCCCCAAACTGGGGTCAAAACACTATGAAAGTGTAAAAATAGATTTTAATACCAGAAATACTTATTATAAAAAACATATTGCCAGCAATACATTTTTGAAGGAAAAAATATTACCAAAAATAGATTTGTGAAAGAAAAAAATATTACTAGCAACAAAAATTTTGTCGGCGTTGGATGACCCATTGGGGTTGATATGCCATAAAACTACCCAAACCAGACCAAACCAAACTATCGCTATGAATTTATTTCAAAATTTTGTTGGCATTAAATGACTCACTGAGGTTGATATGCCATAAGACAAACCAAACCAAACCAAACGAACCCTCGGCCATTCAGACTTGCTAACCAGAAAGCCATGATCGAAGCTTACTGGCTTTGTCTAATCGTAACGAACATATCGATGATCAGGACACCGATGGTCAATCCCATGGACTCTTGGCCCATTTTAATTTTAATGGTGCCGTCCTCAGGCAACCCATAGATGTATTTGGGGAACATTAGTTTTGCTGGCCTATAAGAGGAAGTAAACATAAAAATAGGGAACCTCCCAGAACAAAATTTATATAATTTAACGTTTCTTTCATCCTTTAATATGGACAGTGGAGGAGTGATGGAAAAAGAAGAGTTTGCCCCCATCCCAGCAATGACCAAATTTGCTGCGAACACGGACCTGCACGCACCAGAGTCAACGTTCTTCGCGTCCGAGGAAAGTTTCTGGGGTCCTCCATATCGTCCCCCCTTCACACTTTTGAAATTTTGGAGAACTCTCAGACGCTTGGACTGGAAATTCTTCTTCTCGAAGAAGTCTGTCTTCCCAAGATTATATTTCTCCTTTTTTTTTCTATGCGTT